CGAAGGTAAGATACACTGTAACTGGTAATGATCATTTAACAGTTGTATTAATATTTACAACTGTGACGTCAACAATACTGCTATCACTTTCATTTGGAGAACAAACTACATACCTACCGATCTGAAACGAATATGTGAGTATTTTGCTCAAATATGAAAAGGGTGCGATTCTTTGGTAAAATGTACAATTATACACGACTTTAAGTTTGCACTCAGTTAATGGGCAACGCAAATGTTTAACAAACAAACAGCTTTTAACATACTGAGTGCTGTAAACATGATGAGTGCTGTTAACATGATGAGTGCTGTTCACTAGAGAAGTTGCCATGACAATGACCTTTTTAATACTGGCAATTCTTTAATACTCACGCTGTTGCCGTGACGGCTGCTGTTGGTAACGTAGGTCCTGCATATTGTGCTTGATCAGAACATCAATACGGCTACCAGGAACAGATATTTGTTACTATCACTACTACGTTAGTAAATATGTAAAATGACTAGTATATCCTTACAAAAATAATGTTAAACACAATACGTCATGCACTTAAATGTGAAATATTTACATGAAGTATCCATCCAACAGATAGGACAAATGGGCTAGGGAACGACTGTTCCTTAAAAATATCTTTGATATAAATAAATCTATCTATCTAATGTTTTAAATTGAATGTATTTGAACATCTACGAACTGTTTGATACAAGACATTATAAATTAAAATCAATATAGTTTTTTGTTTTAGTTATGTTAACATTTCTTTTTAAAAAGCTCTTTCTTGATAGCCCAAAGGGCTATGATCCTGATATTTTCCAGCAACATGCACCGATAAGGTGCTACCACATTTGTTGAAACGAATAGTCTTGAACGACTTTTCAAGTGACAGGGGTCTAATGCGTTAAAATCGTTTAATAACTTAACAACCATAACCAAATATCATAATATGTAGCCTGTCGAATGCTGAGATAAGCATCACCAAGTTTAATTGAATAACCTTGTCCGTCCAATTTGATAATACAAATGTACCGAATGAACGAATGAATGACAGTGGCCAATATTCAAGGCTTAAGGAGTTAAACACGTTCACACATTGACACGACTTATAAGAAACAATCAATGTACTTGGAGGAAGAACTACCATATTTTGTTAAGATAAATAGCATTGCTTATCTTTCAAAGTAACAGGGGCAAAATGTTTAAAAACCTTTAAATAACCTATAACCCAGAGCCCGAGATACCTGACTAGCGGCATGCTGCGATAAAGAGTTATTGAGTTTGTTGCGGTATGTGACATTGATTCTTTGCCAACCTCATAAAGGTCAAATGTGTACAAATGTTGAACATTTTTTCCCGACTTGCCTAGAAATCTAGGGTAATGGTGATTAGTTAGTGACAATCTGGGGTTATCAAATGTTGCTCAGGTTAAAGACTAAACCCACTTTTTTAATCATAGGGGTCAAACATGTCAAAACCTTTTAATCTTTTTGGGGGGGATAACCAAGAGCCCTATGGTCATAATATTTCGCTTGTTACATGTAGGGATGAAATGTTATAACACAAATGTTTATGACCTTCTTCAAAGTCACATAAGTGGAAAGTCTAACAAAGGTTTAGAAGGTGTAGAGTCGTACATTTTCTCTATACAAATCTATGATATGAAACTTTAATTAAATAAATATCACAACTTGACTTACAAACTCTGGAAATTACATAAATAATTGAATTCTGCAAGAAGAAAAACTATTTCCAAATAATGTTTGTTACTTAATTATTTATAAATGTACGAATATTTTACCGTAATTATAATTAAGCTTTCACTGACTCCTATTTGCTACAACATTTCATTACTAACATGCTTTATTCTAATTGTTTCTATATAACATGATTAAGTACTATAATTGTTTGCTACAAATGTCACAGTTGTTCAAGAGAAGAAAAAACACCTATAAGTACAGTATTAAGAAGAAAATACAAACAAAAATTATGACTCTGACTTTCATCGGCCATGCATTGCTACTTTTCAAAGTTAATCATGTCAATATTGTTAACCTTTGATCATAGTTAAATATACATTGTAATAAAGATATATTAGATTGATTAAAACCTTATGAGGGCTTCGGTTTATTTCAGCTGGTATACGATCAGATAAAAGTGAGACGTCTGTCAAGACAGTATATTCAAGCCCAAACGAAGGTAAGATACACTGTAACTGGTAATGATCATTTAACAGTTGCATTAATATTTTCAATTGTGACGTCAACAATACTGCTATCACTTTCATTTAGAGAACAAACTACATACCTACCGATCTGAAACGGATATGTGAGTATTTTGCTCAAATATGAAAAGGGTGCGATTCTTTGGTAAAATGTACAATTATACACGACTTTAAGTTTGCACTCAGTTAATGGGCAACGCAAATGTTTAACAAACAAACAGCTTTTAACATACTGAGTGCTGTTAACATGATGAGTGCTGTTAACATGATGAGGGCTGTTCACTAGAGAAGTTGCCATGACAATGACCTTTTTAATACTGGCAATTCTTTAATACTCACGCTGTTGCCGTGACGGCTGCTGTTGGCCATCGTAGGTCCTGCATATTGTGCTTGATCAGAACATCAATACGGCTACCAGGAACAGACATTTGTTACTATCACTACTACGTTAGTAAATATGTAAAATGACTAGTATATCCTAACAAAAATAATGTTAAACACAATACGTCATGCACTTAAATGTGAAATATTTACATGAAGTATCCATCCAACAGATAGGACAAATGGGCTAGGGAACGACTGTTCCTTAAAAATATCTTTGATATAAATAAATCCATCTATCTAATGCTTTAAATTGAATGTATTTGAACATCTACGAACTGTTTGATACAAGACATTATAATTTAAAATCAATACAGTTTTTTGTTTTAGTTATGTTAACATTTCTTTTTAAAAGCTCTTTCTTGATAGCCCAAAGGGCTATGATCCTGATATTTTCGAGCAACATGCACCGATAAGGTGCTACCACATTTGTTGAAACGAATAGTCTTGAACGACTTTTCAAGTGACAGGTGACTAATGCGTTAAAATCGTTTAATAACTTAACAACCATAACCAAATATCATAATATTTAGCCTGTCGAATGCTGAGATAAGCATCACCAAGTTTAATTGAATAACTTTGTCCGTCCAATTTGATAATACAAATGTACCGAATGAACGAATGAATGACAGTGGCCCATATTCAAGGCTTAATGAGTTAAACACGTTTACACATTGACACGACTAATAAGAAACAATCAATGTACTTGGAGGATGAACTACCATATTTGGTTAAGAAAAATAGCATTGTTTATCTTTCAAAGTAACAGGGGCAAAATGTTTAAAAACCTTTAAATAACCTATAACCCAGAGCCCGAGATACCTGACTAGCGGCATGCTGCGATAAAGAGTTATTGAGTTTGTTGCGGTATGTGACATTGATTCTTTTCCAAACTCATAGGGGTCAAATGAGTACAAATTTTGAACATTTTTTCCCGACTAGCCAAGAAATCTAAGGTAATGGTAATTAGCTAGTGACAACCTGGGGTTATCAAATTTTGCTCGGGTTAAAGACTAAACCCGCTTTCTAAATCATAGGGGTCAAACAGGTTAAAAAAGTTTTTTTTTTTTTTTGTGGATAACCAAGAGCCCTATGTTCATAATATTTCGCTTGTTACATGCAGAGATAAAATGTTACAAAATGAATGATTATGACCTTTTTGAAAGTTACGTAAGTGAAAAAGTCCAACAATGGTTTAGAAGGTGTAGAATCGTACATTTTCTCTATAAAATCTATGATATGAAAAATTCATAAATTGACTTAAAAACCCTGGAAATTACAAAAATTATTAAATTCTGCAATAATGTTCGTTACTTAATTACTTATAAATGTACAAATATTTTACCATGTTTATTACTTAGCTTTGACTGACTCCTATTTGCTACAGCAATTCATTATTAACATGTCTTATTCTAATTGTTTCTATATAATATGATTAAGTACTGTAATTGTTTACATACATAACTGAATGCTACAGATGTCACAGTTGCTCAAGAGAAGAAAATCACCTATAAAAACAGTATGAAGAAGAAAACGCAAACACAAAATATGAATGTGGCTTGCATTGGACACCCCCGAGCCGGGAAGACATGCTTGATGAGACAATTGTTAAGACAACACATACCACCTGGTGGCCCGGTTCCTACTGAATTGGTCGAACTACTGACCAAACGACTAAGATACAAACTTGAAAAGAGTGCAGAGGAAAGAGAAGACCTAGATAAGAGAACGAAGTCAGAATTGTGTCGGCTACAATTACGCAGTCTCCGAAAGAAACAGGAAGATGATGATCCCTCAGATGCAGATTCAAATGGTACATTTTCAAATAGCAGAATTATTTGTTGAAGTTTGCTTAATCTTCACATTTTTTTATGACATTTTAAGGGACCATTATATTTAATTTTACATAAAATAACACTTTTAGTTGTCATGTGCTTGCCACTGTCTGAAGCACTACTCTGTGGTATCAAACAACAGGGGGAGATGTTTAGGATAATTGCCTGTACAATAATGAAATTATGTCCACATTTGGTTCAAATTTTAACCCTGTGTTTGATGGTCATTGGAGTTACAAAGTATTCGATTCGTCCGTTCTCTTTGCATCCGTCTATGCTTACCGTAGATTCCGGGGTATATCTCACTTGGTATATAGGTACATCGAGGAAAGATGGTGTTTGTGTCACGACCTTACACAAGGTCACTGTGACCTTTATCTTGCACCTTAAGTACTAAAATAATGGTGTCTGAGTTGATGTGACGGTCAGGTGGTCACAGTGTGGTGATGCCTGAGTTGATGTGACGGTCAGGTGGTCACAGTGTGGTGTAATCAAACAAAGGGCAAGACGTCAACGACCAATTGTTTGACCTTGGCTTCCTGTACATAACAATGTGCATGTATATATAGGAAAAGATGTCCACGCACAGAGTTAACTCCAGTTGAAGTCAGTATCGTGTTGATAATATCGATGAATCAGAAGTCTTTACCATTCATATTAGATTCACAACATAATGACAAAACACGGAAAACATTTACATAGAAAATTCCTTATCCGAACTGCTTTTTCACTTTCTCAACTCACTTTTGTTGATCATTTCATACGGAACAGATAACAATAACAGTCTCAATTCCTTAATCAATTTTAAACAGCAGTGTAACCTTATGTGGTAAGATAAACCATAAAAGAACTTAAAGATAATTATATTAATGTATTTGTCATGAATTGATGTTTGCAAATTTGAAAAATATATATATATATGGTTTTAACTTTGCAGGCAAACCATTTTCTATCATCTATCAGAGGAACACATCACAACAGAACACAACGGAAGACCAAGCAAAATCAATAGACGATATCAATATCGATGATGATAGCATAGATGACTCATCTTGGGCTTATGTAACTTTGTTTGATTTTGGTGGGGACGAAGTATTTCGTATGAACCATCAATGCATCATGTCGGCAAACAAAATATATCTGCTAGTGTTTGATGTTTCCTTGTGGGAAAACCAAACAGAACGGGATCATATCGCTGGTGAGTAGATGAAATTATGCACACAAACATCGATATAGATTAAAACAATGCTATTTATCAAAATCTAACACAGATAATTTGATGTTTGATTAGTGAATTTTTCCCTCAAAATATCTTTTGATACGTCTTCGAATTTTTGTCTTCATTGCAAAAGTATGCTGTTTCTTGACTAAACATATTTTGTTGTTGATGATTCCAATCACATTTCGTTGGTGGCCCGTCTGTCTGCCTTTTAACAGTTTTGGTTTTCAATAGTTATTGATCATGCCTATGTGATTGACTTCGCCGCTGGAAACAAAAACGTCAAAAATCCCTCACCCAATACTTGAACTGTATTTAGACTTTAGCTAAGTATAAAAAAAAGCCAAAATCTTTTCATTTTTACTTAGGCTTTGCATATGTTGCATGCAATTAATATTATAAACATTTGCGGTGGTTCTTGATTGTTTTGTTTTACGTTTTTATGTAATTCACCTAGTGTGACCATGTAACAATTTGACATTATTTTTCAAAAATTGTTATGAAAACAGATTTTTGTTATCATTTTAAAGCTGAAATTGAGTACTGGCTGAATTTAGTTGCGACGTACGCAGGAGACGAATCTGACGAACGTAAAGGTATACCACCAATTATATTGATTGGTTCTCATATGGACAAAATTCCAAAGGTGAGTATGTTACATGATTACGTCTTTATCAGAGAAATATGAATTAGTCATGTGTACATAATATAATAACAGTGCATAAACGAAAACCAAAATATGAACATGCCGTTATGTATCGCAAGATTCGTAAACTTCGATTCAAATATGATTTCAGACCTGAAGTATAAAATTATGTAAATGAAGCTGGCGTTAATCTTTCTTTTTTCCATAAGACCTTTTTTAATTGTCATTAACATGATTCCACCGCGAAATCCCTTAAGATAATTCTTTATTTGTTAACACTTTGATTGACGTTCTACCTAAGTAGCCTGATACAGCAGCAAGTGATCTTTGCTAAATAAACGATCTAAACTGTCATATATTGCCAGAATGAAACTCGTTTCATCGAGGTTAAATTTATAGATAAAGTCACACCTTAGAGATTGGTTTACTGTATTTCATAATAATTGTTCCGTCTACGACTATGTCAAAATAGCGTATTCCTTTCTAAGTACCACAGGGAGCTAGATTTACCTCCTTTGTCTGACTCATGGTGCTGCCCTAGTCCTGCGAGCTGGATGAGCCAATGTTGTCGTGCGACATACTATGTAAGTGTGAATATGCTTTACATTAAATTTAACTATTAAATATTTTGTCGCTACATATACGACTATTACATGTCAAAATCTAGTCAGATACATCCATTACTGTGTCATGTGTGAATTTGTTGATTTCCATTTATGTTTAATTAAATTCATGTACTTCACATAATTCAATGGACATTTTAGAAAGTACATTCTTATTGATTGTTCTAGAAGCGAGGTGTCATGATTTGTAACTTCATGGAGGTATATCTATACATAGCAGCAGTAATTTTAAAGTTGCCTACGCAATTCATTTTGAAGGTCGCCATTTCTAGTGTTCACATGTGTAGCATTTTGAGTAATATGTTTTGAATACTAAAACCACTTAGAAGATCAGTGCCGTTCTATATTACATGTATCATTTCTTGAATTAAATAGAAATAAGTTCAGCGACTTCTGTTGGCATTACAGACTTTATTGAAGGAGGCATGTCATGGTATTTACAGTCTGATAAGTATAGAAAAAGTGTTGGTTGGAAAATTGTTATCCAGGGAATTTACCGTTAGATAGGGTCTGGGTATTGAGTTATCAACCCAAGGACAGTAACCCTCAGGCATGCATAGAGTAATGGGTTCAAGGTATAAGGAATAGAAATCCATCTCTTATCTAATATTTGAGGATGGGATTACATGTATGTTGGATACATAAACAAAACTGCCTGCATCTGCACAAACCGGTAATTAGAGATAGCTACAAATTAACTGATATATGTTTTGTGTTGACCAGAAAAGAGATGCATACCTCAGCTAAATTGGAACATTGGGTTACGTGGAAAATGGGGATAAATACGACGCAGTACGGTACGATAGGAGAAAGCGAGACAGAGCAGGGAGGAGGTTATGGTTATTGGTCAGCATAAGTAACAAGTCTTAGATGTCAGGGGTAGTGTCTATGTCTTAGAAGCTAGAGAGATATGGTTTTGTTACCTTACTTAGCTGGAAGATTGGAGACACGACGCAAAAAAAATATGAGTTCATATTACTGTACGTAGATGAGATTTTGTTACTTTCTGTACATGTGCTTTGAATGAGACTTGGTTTTTTAATCTATGAATAAACGATTGATGTTACCAACTATCACGTATGTTTACGACTACTGTGTCACACCTGGGCCTCCTGTTTAATCTTGCAAACATAATGACCGAGATGCATGATGGGGTACTACAAAACGTAGATGATAGGACTCAAGGTGCAAACATCTTCTAACCTGTATATTAATATGAAGAATTATAACGAAATAGTATAGTGAAGTCGACTATAATGTACAATCCAAGGGAAGCAACTCGATCTAAGAAAGAAACCAATTATTTTGAGATTTCTCCCGAAATACCACTTACAGTGTTAACGAACTCATATTCATTGCAATTAATATCATCCATTCTTTCATAATATACGAAATATGCCAAATGTACGGTTACAGCTAAAATCAACTTATGTACGACAACAAAACCTATTCAATTCGATTATTGTTACAAATGTAACCGAGTAATCAATAACTCAACCCGGTCCGATTCGGGTTTCCCTTCTTTATTCTTTGAGGATTAAATCCCCAACAAAAACCCTAGAAAAGTTCAAATACAAACATAGTTACCCATAGTAACACACATGCCACTCTAATACATACCAAGGGAAATCACTCTTACTCAATCTATCATACAATTTTACCCTATTCTTAAAATATATTTATTTTCACAAAACATATATTTTATAATTGTTATTCCATTCCTTATGTATATTCTGAAATAATTTTAGACAGAATACAGTTATTGTTCATTGAATATATTTAATAAGGATACACCATATCAACTCACACATACCTCTAGCTCTCCGGAGATATACTCATTCAAATATATAGACACATATTTACAATGAATCTCAATAATATTTTACTAAAACAAAATTGACTGGTGACCTTTAATGACCTTGAACTATTAACATGGCTTTTATACAACCAATTATGCAATAATTAACTTTAATTTAAATAGTAATGATAATTCCTATAAATTACATTTCCTGTATGTAGAGGATCTGACACGAGTTTTCATATAGTATTGAATTTTTGAACGAGTTTATTAATTTCATATGAAATTAATAAACGAGTTTAATAAATTCAATATAACATAAACACGAGTGTTAGATTCTATTTATTATATAATTCGGGAAACACTCTTTTTCTTGACACGTCTCTTCTATATAAATTGTACCGATGGCTGGCGAAAGGACGCATTACATGCAGTTTGTTTGGAGCTCGCTGCGGCACAAAAAAATAGTTTCAGAAACTTCTTCTCCGAGAACATTTTCAATGAACAAACAATCATTTAGGTTTCATTCATCAACCAATGTTTTAATAATTATCATAACAACATTAATAATCATTTTTATACGAAAACCATTCAACGAATTGGCGTTTACAAAAATAGAAGTGACGTCACATATTTGGCACATCGGTGCTTGCACTGTCAAAGTAAAGGTCATCACAATACACATCGAAGTCTGTACTTTTTAAAAGTTAACAGGGACTGGAGCGATTGTCACTCTCTTTAACACAAGCGCCTTTCTTTGGAGAGAGTTGTTGGTGAATGTGAACCTCGATATTTCCGCCTCTCACCGAGCCATAAAATATACTGTGGGATCCGCCATGAAACTGGAACACTGATGAAGTTGACCGGTTACACGTGTTCGCCATTGATTGTGTGTATGTCGGAGAAGTTCAAGTCGAATTTGAACATGCAGGTGTTGAATTTGTGTGAAGCTAACACTCGTGTTTATATAATATTGAATCTATTAAATTCGTTTGTTAATTTTGTTCTCCCAGTGCCCCTGCCCCTGCCTCTGCTATCAATGTAAACAGTAACTCGGTCAGCAATTTTGTTTACAAACGTAGAAGTTGTAGGGTGTAGGAATATGACCTGTTTCCCACGATGACAAGACTCATTTGCATGTTTATTGTACGTGTGCTATATCGTTTTTATTGAACGGCAATATTGCACGGAAATAGCCTGTATTTTATAATATATAAGTATATTGCCTGATACACTAGTAAGGTTTAATCCTTAAACTTTAGAACGACTTACCTTTAATGCTTGTGCTCACCAGAACGCGTGTTCACCTGATTGCCTATTTCCGGGTATTCTTACGCCCACCCTGATCTCACCATGCGTTCTATATGATTGGCCAGCCATGGACCAATCAAATGTCTCCAAGTTCGTCATGTGTCATCGCATGCATACTTAAATACTGATGCAGGTACACACAAACATTAAGGATGAATTTCTCTTCATGTCCATGACAATGGTTCTGAAAGAAATGTGCCATCATATTGATTATTTGTAAGTCGACCAGTAAAAGTATGTAAACCCATTATATGAAAAATTATATATATATACATAACACATGAATACTAGTCTAAATTTCATACGGCTACACAAATATATCAATGTACTGCTTGCATTGAGAACAAGATACGCTGGTAAATGATCATTTCTTTGAAAGTTATGTATCGGTGATATTCTAGAATATTTCAATTGATTTAAGAAAGATATGTTTTATAATGGCGCATTGTTTTGGTAAAATCTGTATACATTTTGAGATGTAATCTTTGTAGGCATCTTTATCCTCTGTATCTACTTTAAAAACGGCATCGTTATAAACCATCAGCTGCCGTAAGATCCCGTTGGTGGGCGAAAGTGAACTTGCAACAGAATAGTAAGATCCTTTTACCATACGTATAGGATATGCAATATTTTCTAGAGGTGTGCATCGAAAGCATTGTGACGATACGATAATATCACGATACAAGGGTCACGATACGATACGTATCACGATACTTGTCGCAACGTTTTCTACAAACATGTTACTATAGTTTTCCTTGATTTGAAACAACCCTTGATATTTACTAGTTTATTACCGCAAGTACTCTTCTTAATACTTCCAAAAAAGCCTGAAATATTGACGATAAATGAGCGCGACACAGGACTGGTAACCACTCTAAAAGAGCCGTAACTGGCAGTACATACATGTAACTTGGTTTAATTATCACGATACTAACGGCGAATGCCACGATGCATCGGCACTCAAGCTATGATATACTGAACAAAAAAAGAAACGCACAATTAAATTATGCAATCAATAGCCTATGATATTTTGGAAAATTTGTACAAAATGTTATATCAATATGAAGGGACAAGTCTACTCTTTACAATACTGTAGAAGAAAAGTCTGTGTGATGTCACTCGTGTCATAAGTAGTTACTCAAAGTGGGATACCCGCGAAAAACAAGATGACACTTCAGTACCTGGTGAGGGCACCTTTTGCACGAAACGAATTCCTGCACGGATTCTCCTATGCATTGAATTCATGAGAACATCTATTCGCCTTAAGGGAATGTTGTTCCATTATTGTGTTAATGCTGGGGGGGGGGGGGGGGGGGGGGGGGTTGACGTTTCCTAATACGCCTGTCCAGCTCATCCCACATATGCTCAATGGGAGACATGTCGGGGCTATATGAGGGCCATTCCAGAGGCTGAACGTTGTTTGCTGTGAGAAAATCACGACAGACTCTGACAACATGCGGTCGGACATGTGGTTGGAGGATCTGGTCTCTGTATTGAACGGCATTGAGGTTTTGATCCAGGACCACGAAGGGGGATTTTACTCCATGGGAGATGCCTCCCCAAACCACTGCAGAAGCCCCATCAAATTTATCGCGTTTAACTACGCATGCGTCGGCAAAACGCTTACCGCGTCTACGATATACTCTTTTTCTTCCGTCTGAGCGATACAGACAGAATCTAGACTCGTCGGTGAACATCACACGCCTTCATCGACGCATCCCAAACCTATTTGGGCCATGTCTGCGCATCCAGTCAAGACGCACTTGCCGCCTCCGTGGTGTCAGAGGTGGCCCGACATAAGGTCGGCGCGCAATTATTCTCTCGGCACGCAAGCGGTTCCTGGCAGTTTGAGGACTAATGGGTCTGCCATGAGTACCTAAGGTATGCGACGCAGTCTCTACATCAGTCTTGAATCTGTTGCGCAAGTGCGACAATCGAATCGCCCTGTCTGGTCGTACGGTCGTTACACGCGGACGACCGCTCGTGGGACGATCGGAAACTAACCCAGTAGCACGGAAACGTGTACAGAGACGGTTAATTGTACACGGGCCAACACCAAACTGCCGTGCGGCAGCAGTTTGGCTTTGACCATCCATCAACATCGCAATTGCTCTACCCCTCTGAATTTGCGTTAAGCGTGGCATCTCAGTCAATGGCGAAATCAAAATGCCAACGTGGAAAAATAATGTGGCTAAACTTAGAGTATCCGTTGAGAATATTTGTTTGAAAAACTCCGGCTTGGCTTGATCACGCCGCGTGATTTGGACTAAAGAAGCTCATAAAGTCACACAATGAAATTGTCACGCTTGGCTGATTTTAGAGTAGATTGTTGAGAAGGGAGGTCGTTATTGATGTAATACCTGATCAAATATTCCATTATATCCTGACAGCTAAGGTGTACTGCAGGGGGGAACTTTGGGCGTTTCTTTTTTTGTTCAGTATACGATTTATCGATGTATCGTTTTATTTTTACATCTCTACTTTTTTTCAAATAGACAGTGCGATGTTTTCTTTACAGGATGAAAAGGACATTTGTATCAAAATATGGAACGAACTGCAAGAGAGACTACCTGGCATGAAAGATATATTAAAACATCACGTGAAGCAGATCTTCTTAATTGCGGACATGGATAATAGTGACCTAAACGAAGAGAAGTATCTTGATGTATGGTGTGAGATAGAAAAGTATGTCGATCTACAGTCGTGTTGGCACGACAGCATCACCGGAACTTGGCTAGCAATGGAAGAAAAAGTTATGTTGGAAAAAGAAAAAGGACAAAAGTTCCTGAATATCCAACAGATACTTGATATCAACAGCAAGCTGTTGGTACCTCTTGCAGAGAATGAACTAGTTCCTTTCCTTCGGTATGCATCATCAGTAATTCATATTTTTATATATAGGATACAGATATTGTTATACAAATGTTTTGCTGGACAAGGAATTAGTTGCCTTTGTTGCGGTTCTATGAATATAACATTCATATTTTAAATGAAAATATATTTCCTATGTTTATATGTATTAACTTATCAAAATATTATTGTTCCTTGATATTTGGGGATAAAGAAAAAAATCGCTTTGACTTTGAAGGAGTCATGATGTCCTCCCATTTTTTGTTTGTATCAGTTTGGCTTAACCTGTGTCTTATAATATTATTTTCTACTTCCTTAGCAAATTTCAATACGTGACATACTTTTTTTCTATTGTAATTTCAGATATATGCATAATGCTGGAAGCATTATCTGTTTCGATATTTTCGGAAAGATGGATTCCGAATCTGAGCAGGATACAAACCAAATTAAAGTGATATTAGATATCAACTGGATCATCAAAGCATTTGCAACCATTATCACGGATGAGAAATTTGCGGACTTAAATGGCAACAAGCAACAAATTATTTGGGAACAATACAAAACAACAGCAATGCTTACTGACGAAGTCCTTGAATTACAATGGCGAAATGTGACATATGAAGACCGTGAAGTATTGATATCGCAAATGAAAAATCTAGGATTGATAACGGAACGGACGCATCAAGGATATATGGTCCCCTGTCTACTGAGCGAAGCTAAGTCAGACTGCATACGACAACTATTTAACAACGAGAGCGTGCATTCAACTAAAACTTTATGTCTGGTATTCCGTGATCAGTTTATTCAAGAATCCATCTGGGACAGAACTGTTGCATTTTGCCTACATGAATTTGGTGAATGTACCTACCCAGAGCGGGGTAACGAGATACACCCTAAAAGAGGCTTTATATGCAGGAACGTTGATGACATTTGGAACTTTGTACTGCACTGTAAAGGAGCAATGCTCAAAATGACAATGTTTAATCATCACGAACAGCCTGTGCCTCGTGGAGTTGGGGACAATCTGCGGCTTAAAATTGAAGGCATTATCAAAACCGTTCTTTCAATGGCAAACCAAGAACAACGAAAGTTCTATTACTACCTCCATTGTGACTTTTGGATATATGATGGAGAGAGTGATATCGGAAAGCCAAAAATAGAGACACTGATGAGATGCACTAAATTCCCAGTTAAGGACTCTAAAGGAAATAAGTGTTTCCTGACACAAAATGATTGCCATGCATGGTTTGGAGATGTCAGTAAGGTACATTTACTTATTATCCAATACTATAATGAGTAATATATCTTGTTATCATACTTTTTTAAGGTCACATTGCATGGCATGGTCAATGCCCTGACTAAAGTTTGTATCGGCCAACCACTAGCAAAACCTATTTGGATTTTAGGTTATTACTTAAACAAGTTTTTGTTTTGCCACGATATTTTTTCTTGATCTCTTCCTCATCACCACGGGTAGAGCAGAAACGGTCAACAACCCAAATCTCTAACGGTATACATATATATGTGCTTATTCAAAATATTGAAGAAACACATCCATGCTAGCACATTTTTTAGAACAGTACCCATCCTAAGTGCAAGATTGAAAAGGAAACTTTGAGTATTTGACATAGTGAATCAACTATACTATTGTTTAAGGAATCGACCCTTTCTTTGGTCCGTCCGCGACCCAAGGAACTTAGTCTCCTTAGTCATAATGCTAGATATGGAACAAAAAATGCGTTAATGCAATCATTATTGCACCAGGGGTCCTGAAAGCACCAGGAGGAGAGGGCAAAGATCTACGACTGGGAGGCTGTGACAAAACCACGACAATTAGGTCATTTATTCGATAGAACCTATTCTTCCTGAAGAATAAATATTTCAAACAAATTTACAAGAAGGCAAAATTTGGACAAGCATATGAAACTGAGAGACAGAGCTAATATTGACAAATATTTGCAGTATGGTCATAGGTGAGAATATTAAGCTGAACAACAAGCGTTTGAGATACCAATGCCATTAATTTATCTGCAAATTTCCCTCTTCATACAGGTGTCTGCTGAGGAGAAATTCACTGACATGACAAGAGTGAAAATAATCCATGCTGCTATGGTGACAAACCTACATGGTTGGGTCTATCCAACATCGAAAAACACATGGGGAACATTCCAAACGCAATTAGACCCGTTTTTGGCAAATGCCGATTTGTACGATGTTCCTGACAACAGTATGGCGAAAATCTGTAAAGCGCTGATGAGAGATGGACACATTGATTATGGAGATTATAGCATTCTTCGAGAGATTGTTAACAGTATCCATGTTAAGGCAGCTGACGTTATTGATAAAGCTATGGTGGAACTGTCTAAGTATCGGCGCTAACTTCAGGTAACTAGGCAACTGTTGTTTTAATGTTAATGTGTTGATACATATCAATGTTTATAACTGAGGAATAAAATAAGTAAAAATTTCGTTAATAGGTAAATGGTTATGTGTATAAATCATTTCATCCTCATACATATTAACATACTAACAATCTGATATAAGTTTATACGAAGGCGATATTAAGGACACAACAGTTATTGGTCACGTTAAACCTGTTTCTATTAAGTAACATTTCTTATATCAATTAACAAATCTACATATGTGTTCAATTATATTTTTGCAGCGATGTTAACGATAAACATCAGCTCGATACAATGCCCCAACACGAAGAGCAGGATCGCTAAGGGCCTAGCTATCACACATCGATGCGGCACAGTGTTATAACTGGCCTTGATTGAACGTTGGTCAATAGAGCCAGCCCATACTCATGTATGACGTGGAGTCTTACAAACCCTGGTATGACGTGGATCGGTGGATCTATCTCACATGCTGACGTAATATATGACGTACTTGAGAGATAGTGTTTTGTGAAACTGACGGTTTACAATCAGTGAAATAATGACCAGTCTTATCTGATGTGTGGAGAACTATGACACATTTACAGTTGGTCTCTGGTTGGTTTCTTATGTTCAGTAAAGAAAAGGAACGATCCAAAGAAGGCGAATACGACGTTACCAACAAGTCTTAGTCTTTACATGTAAACTCAACACTAGATTTATGTTTACATTTAAACGTTCGTGTGCGACAGGTCGATTGCGCCAAAACAGTGGTGAGAGTAACGTTAGTTTAAACCCGCCATTGACAACTTTGTGGTAAATGATTATATTATTGCGTTTGCTTAAAAAAGATGTGGACATGCTATTCTTACGGGATGGAGTACTCATGGCATAATGGCAATAAACAGTCTCGGAGTGTGGTAAATGAGTGTCATGATATAGATATTTAATTTCACACTGACACTTCTAGTCAAATAGCTTAATTAATCGATGATAGATTAGCTATGATGTTACTACCAGCCAATTTTTATGAAAGCTGATTGTTATGTGCAAAACAATTTTTTGATGCTATGCTAAGGAATTGCATCCTCGATATCCAAGGGTTACGCTCACTTTCGCTCTCTGTACCCCTTGAATATGTCATATCAAATATGAAGGCTCGGTGTGCGCCACTTTGTTGATGTGACAAGAAAACTTGATCGATCCTTTTATGTACATCAACAGAATCTCGCGGTCACGTAACGGTAACAATTAAGAGTCTTTGAAGTCGGGCGTCTCTTATTTGATATCTTCAAAGGACAGGTATCAGCCTAGTAATTGGTCAGGTTTTGTTTTACCTGAGACCAATCAAACAGCTATTTCCGTGCCTTCAATTTCGCTATGACATATTGTGTAGAGGGGTGTAGAGAGCGAAAGTGAACGTAACCCCAGGATATCGAGATTGAGGATGTGATGCTTCACTGTAAACATACCACTGACAATAGGAGTGCTGACTAGTATGACATCAAAGTGTTTATTATGGAGTGCATAACATATCAGTTTCTGAGTTAAAGACAAAGCAGTGTCATGATTATATTATTTTATCTAAAAGATGTCGAGGACGAGTGAAATCACTCGAATATTTTCATTTTGAAAATATTTCTGATCTAAAACTTTGATCCCTTCTGCATTATTGAAAACATTTTCTTTAATTTAATTACTTATTTGATTTTAGTTTATATGACCTTATATTACACATTGTATCAGAAAAAGGTTTAATAGTCCCAACTTTAAATTACCGGTGTAGAAGTAATTTCTTTCCCAATCTGAAAGATTCCCAGAGGATTTATTAGTTAATAGCTGATTCGCTAGCTTATCCCCCTCCGCCCCCCCCCCCGCCCCCCATATTGCTTTCAATGGGAGGACTATTTGTTAGCTTTTTCTTTCCCCACACTGTATAAGTGAATACTGAGGAAGCTATTGGCTAGTAAATAGAGGGGAACCAGTGTATTCCTTTTCCCCATCTGTGTGAGCTAGTTAACATGGGAAACTATTGGGTAGTTAAGTCCTTTCCCTATCAGTGTCGGTTAATGTATGGAACTTATTGACTCGCTTATAAGTTCACCCTCTCCATTAGTAAATAGGGGGAACTTTTGGCTAGCCGAATCTTTCCGACATATGTATTGCTTTAAAGGGTAAAACTGTTTGTTAGCTTATTCTTTGCACCTTCTATATTAGTTGATAGAGGGGGGGGGGGGGTTCTATTGGCTGTTATCCCCCATCCATCCAGGATTTTGGTGCCCAGCATCGTACCATACTTCACTAGTTCTATGTCAAATCAATCTTTTCTCTTCCTTACTCTTATCTGTTTGATCGAGTAATGTAAACAGTGAATGCACCTTGAGGTAGCTTTTGATCTAAACTTCATTCTGCTGTGTATAAAAGACAACCTTCAAAATGAGATTGTCGTTCCACATATGTACTAGTACAGTACTTGATGTGAACAACTGATAATTTCAATATGAGAAATATATGTACAAGTACTTATTGTGAAATAGTGATAATATTCTTAAAATATCAAAATCCAAGATGATGACCTGTCGACCATATTGTTTATTCCGTCAGTCTCCAAAGTAAACATGCTGGATAAAGGACCACGTGGAACTTACATAACAACTTTTAGAAAGATCCACCTTGTACTTTCTGAGAGTTAGCAATAACAACCATTCATCGATTGTGTTAATCCGATCTGTCTCAAAGGAAACATGCCCAATTACGGACCAAGAGGAAACTACCTTTTAAATTTGAGATGATGATGATGATGATGATGATGATGATGATGATGATGATGATGATGATGATGATGGGCTAAAAATGAAAATTGTAACAAAAAATCAGTAAATCAGTTTTATATGACTTTTTTCTGCAACTTTCAGACTAAGAAATCCAAATCCAAAAACTATAAGTTCACAAATTCTACTTATGTTATCTGTTAGGTAGGTCACGTTTTGTCCCATTTGTGCAACCATTTTAACCACATTAATATACAGGGAAGGAAACAGGTCAGCCAACAAAAAATGTCCAACCCCACAAAACTAACATCAGGGGATTGGGGAATGAATCAGCCAGCTGATAGTTTTCTCCTTTAAAAAGACAAGAATATGCTAGCAAATACCTCCCTCTCCTTTATAAATAAATGCAGAGGGGGGAGGGGGTCTGTCTTTAGTCTGTAAATAACCCTCCTACCCCCGAACCCATCAACCCACAAATCAATGCCAAGGGGGTAAATTTGCCAGTTAATAGTTATTCCCCTAAATACAAATGTAACAAAATCCAAATGGAAAAATATCTAAGAAACAAACTTTTGGAGCTCTCTTGTATTCAGAGAATGTGTTTAAGGCAGTAAATATAGTACTTTTGTTGAGAAGTATTATTTTGATTTTAGTTCCCTATTACTAGAGTGTCGAGCACTCTTTTATGAGAGTAATAAACATATGCACATTTTGCTTCTTTCGGTTATTCAATTGTTCAATAATTGTTTGACATCATATTGAGTTCCGTATACAAGAGCTGGGCTGGCACACTCTCGTATCAGAGAAATTATCATATGTATTACTCTCTGTGTTTTAATTGTTAACTATTTGTTTGACATCAGTTTAAATTCCTAACAATAGAGCTGGAAGCAGTCTCGTATTAGAGAAATTATAATATGTACTACTTTTTGTTATCTAAATGTTGAAACGTAGTTTGATATCAGATGGATGTCCTTATACTAGAGCTTGACGCACTCTCGTTTTAAAGAAATTGTAATAATAACTATCATCTTTTCTTTAATCGTTGAATTGTCATTAACTGAATTTCCAAAAACTAGAGCTTGAAGCACTGTCGTGTGAGAAAAATAATTATATTTACTATTTTGTTTTATTTATTTATTGAATAATGATGTGATGTCAAATTAATTTCCTAATACTTTAGCACACTCGTATAAGAGAAATCTAATTTTTTTTTTTAGATATCAGGGTTTCCTAATACTAGAGTTTTGAGCGTATTTGATAAACAATCAGATGTACTACTTTGTTTTATTTTATTATTAAACAGTTGCTTGATATCAGGTATTTACTAATTGTAAAGTTTGGAGCACTCTCGTATTTGATATAATTTATTATAATAGTATGTTCTACATGCACTTTCTTCTGTTTTATAATTGTTAGATTATTGCTAGATATCAGGAAAAAACTAATACTAGAGCTTGGAACACTCTCGTTTTAGAGAAATTATCATATGTACTACTTTCTTTTATTTAATTGTTGAATAGTTTTTGACATAAAATTCATTTCCTAATATTAGAGCTTAGAGCACTCTCGTATTCGAGATATTAACATATGTACTCCTTTTTGCTATTTTATTGTTAAAACGTAGTTTGATATCAGATAACATGTCCTTATACTAGAGCAAGGAGCACTCTCGCATTAGAGAAATTACAATATGAATTACTTTCCGTTATTAATTTTTTGAATAGTTTTTTGACATTAGATACATTTTCTGATACTAGAGCTTGGAGCACTCTCGTATTGGAGCAACTATCATATGTAATGCCTTTTGGCTATTTCATTGTTGAATATTTGTATGCCAATATATACATTTCCTGATACTAGACCAAGGAGCACTCTCGTATTAGAAATATTATCATATGTACTCCTTTTTGCTATTTCATTGTTAAAACGTAGTTTGATGTCAGATAACATGTCCTTATACTAGAGCAAGGAGCACTCTCGCATTAGAGAAATTACAATATGAATTACTTTCTGTTTTTAATTCTTGAATAGTTTTTTGACATTAGATACATTTTCTGATACTAGAGCTTGGAGCATTCTCGTATTGGAGCAACTATCATATGTAATGCCTTTTGGCTATTTCATTGTTGAATATTTGTATGACAATATATACATTTCCTGATACTAGACCAAGGAGCACTCTCGTATTAGAAATATTATCATATGTACTCCTTTTTGCTATTTCATTGTTAAAAAGTAGTTTCATATCAGATAACATGTCCTTATACTAGAGCTTGGAGCACTCTCGCATTAGAGAAATTACAATATGAATTACTTTCTGTTTTTAATTCTTGAATAGTTTTTTGACATTAGATACATTTTCTGATACTAGAAATTGAAGCACTTTCGTATTAGAGCAACTATCATATGTAACGCTTTTGGCTTTTTCATTGTTGAATATTTGTTCAACAATATATACATTTCCTGATACTAGAGATCGGAGTACTCTCGTATTAGAGATATTATCATATATACTCCTTTTTGCTATTTCATTGTTAAAAAGTAGTTTGATATAAGATAATATGTCCTTATACTAGAGCAATGAGCACTCTCGTATTAGGTAAACTGCTATATAAATTACTTTCTGTTATCAAAATGTTGAAAAGTACTTTGATATCAGCTGAATTTCCTGATACTAGAGCTTAGAGCACTCTCGTATTAGATATATTAACATATGTACTCCTTTTTGCTATTTCATTGTTAAAAAGTAGTTTGACAAAAGATAATATGTCCTAACACTAGAGCAAGGAGCACTCTCGTATTAGATATATAAACATATGTACAACTTTTTGCTATTTCATTGTTAAAAAGTAGTTTGACAAAAGATAATATGTCCTAACACTAGAGCAAGGAGCACTCTCGTATTAGATATATTAACATATGTACTCCTTTTTGCTATTTCATTGTTAAAAAGTAGTTTGATATCAGATAACATGTCCTTATACTAGAGCTTGGAGCACTCTCGTATTAGAGAAATTGCCATATGAATTACTTTCTGTTATTAATTCTTGAATAGTTTTTTGACATTAGATAAATTTTCTGATACTAGAGCTTGAAGCACTCTCGTATTGAAGCAACTAGCATATGTAACGCTTTTGGCTATTTCATTGTTGAATATTTGTTCAACAATATATACATTTCCTGATACTAGAGATCGGAGTACTCTCGTATTACAGATATTATCATATATACTCCTTTTTGCTATTTCATTGTTAAAAAAGTAGTTTGATATAAGATAATATGTCCTTATACTAGAGCAATGAGCACTCTCGTATTAGGTAAACTGCTATATAAATTACCTTCTGTTATCAAAATGTTGAAAAGTACTTTGATATCAGCTGAATTTCCTGATACTAGAGCTTAGAGCACTCTCGTATTAGAAATATTAACATATGTACTCCTTTTTGCTATTTCATTGTTAAAAAGTAGTTTGACAAAAGATAATATGTCCTAA